TATATAGCTTCTTTGGGTACTTATAATGTAGAATAATGAAAAAATTTCTGGAACTTAAATTTTGTGAACCAGGGAGGTGTGTCTTTTCCAACAAACTAAAAATGGCTCGCGCACAAAATTTAAAAGCTGTAATCATATTTTGAGTTAATAGATGGAAAATTTGTCGGCTTTTAATTACTGTACAAAATTTCAGACAATTTGGTTTAGTTTAAGCCCTTTAACTATTCATTTTGTTCTAAAAAATCAGCCTTTCGCATGCTTAATTAATGCCTTTACCTAATTTGCATATTGCTGACATATGCAAATTAGGCAAATACATTAATTAAGCATGCAAATAGCTGATTTTTAGGAAAAATGTAACTTTGCGTGAATAGTTAAGGGGCTTAAACTAAACCAAATTGTCTGAAACTTTGTACAGTAATTAAATTTTAAATAAATTAAATTTTCCATCTATTAACTCAAAATATGATTGCAGCTTTTAAATTTTGTGCACGAGCCATTTTTAATTTTTTGGAAAAGACACAACCCCCTGGTTCACAAAATTTGAGTTCGAGAAATTGTTTTCATTATTCTACATTATAAGTACCCAAAGAAGCTATATATATATATATAAAAAACCGGATACAAATAAATGTTTTGCGAAATTGAGAGCAATTTCAAATCTGTTCAGTTTTTTTTATACACCCTGTATAACTGATCTTTTTACCCAAATCGCCACTATACACTCCTCCGGTAACTATCAAATTAAATATTCTCGTACAACTCCACAAAAAAATGCGTCTTCTAGAGTTGGTGCAAAAATATAGAACTCGGTTTCCAAAATGTTTTCGTAATGTTTAGAAAAAAGAATTCACTAAGGAGATGCATACATTACTCCTTAACATTTTGAATAATGAGAATGACTACCTTGAGGTCCCAATGATTATGCAGTGAATGTCTGTTTGATTTTATGTCTGATGAATTTTCTTTTTCAGTCTCTTTTCTCATTTAAAGCGTGCTGAGTTATTATCTGAATGCGTTTCGTCATTAACATGTACATTAATTTACATATTCCATAAAATTTAAATACTTTGAGGTTTCGACTGTAGTTTTATTATATTAAATCTACAATGCAACTCGACGTCAGCCCCTGTTCATATGGCTTGATCGAATATGGGCTATATATAGATCTCATTAAATCCCGCTCGTAAAGCAGTTTCGGAATAACTATGAAATGTTTTAATTTGATTTAATAGATCCACATGCAATCGTACCAGTGTAGCCCGTTATCTACCCCCGAAGGGATCGTATCGACCTTCAGACAGTGTGCTAAGCTTCAGAAAGACAAAGACCTGAAAAAATTTGTGTCTGTGGTAGTATTGGACGAGATTGGTTTAGCTGAAGATTCTCCCCTGATGCCTTTAAAAACACTTCATCCCCTTTTGGAAGATGGCACAGCTACTACTGAAGAATCAGGAAAAACTTCCGACCATCACCGTGTCGGTTTTATTGGTTTATCAAATTGGGCGTTGGATCCTGCTAAGATGAACCGAGGCATCATGTTGAGTAGAGGAGTACCAAGTGAAGATGAATTGTGTAATAGTGCAAGGTTTGGGGCGATATTGTTAACTTATAATAAGTCTAAAAATGCATCAACACTATCTAAGGAGCCGATTACATCAATAGTTATATGGAGCGAAATGACCCCCTTAAATAAGTAACGTCAGCCAGAGGTTAGCCCCGTAATAACTAAAAATGCTCAACAGTTGAACTTATAGCCTCCTCCGCAGGCATCTCGTGGTTCACGTATTTTACAAAGTCGGTGAGATGCCTGCCAAAACCCGACATGGTTGAGCCGATCTGGGCATCTTGCTTGCCAGCAGTGATTTCGTCCCTATATAGAGTACGCACGTGGGGTGGATTTTGTCATCCAAGATGGCAGATTGCATGGAGTGAAGAATTATGAGAATTAGTGAATTACTGTCGCTTAAAACCAGACTGACTTATTAAGACTTCAATGAAATGCATTTAATTTCATATAATATTTTTTGGATGAATTAGTTGTTTTGAAATTATTGTTAATGTTTGATAGGCATAATTATTTAAAATAGTTTGTTATGTTCTATTAAATGAAGACACAAAGTGGTTTATTCACATGATAGTATTATTAGTATTACAATTAAGGCAGTTCATGGTTGTCATAGGATGTAAATTTTAATAACTGAGAAATGTAACAAGATAAAATATATTTCAGCATGATAATTGCGAACCCAGTGTTAAATAGAAACCAAGGCGAGAGTCAGATTGATTTCAGTGAAAAAGTCTTGGTCTGGTTGTCAGATTGGCCGAGTATGCCAATCAGTGAAGCAACATCCAAGCTAACGCCACTGTCTGAAATCTGAAATTAGCTGGGTGCACTTACTTCATTAAGAGATTTAGTACCTGGTGTGAATTACATTGTATAATCCAGCAGTTAAACAATAAGGTGGTAGATGATTATAATAATATATTTCAATTTTATTTAATCCAAATAAACATGTTGAATTGTCAGAGTTTTTGCGCAAGAAACTAGGTGCTATTTTGCATGTCTGAGATGAAGACTAAGGTGCTGCATCATAGGAAAAAAATTAGCGCGGACTGCAAGTGCGTAAATTTCTTGTACATGCAGGCAAAGTTGGATCACACATTTAATAGCTAGGTATAAACTTCTGGAAGGGGGAGAAGGGATTTGTGGCATTTAGAAGCAAATGAGGTCGGTGATGCATGCATCCCTTCTCCCCTTCCAGAACTTTATACCTATTAAATGCGTGATCCAACTTTGCCTGAGAATAGGGGGCAAACATCAAAACATATTATTGGTCAGTATGTTGAAAATAAAATATTACTACCTTGACAGTTTACTTTGTGCAGTTAGCAGCTTCAGGGCTGCACCACATTTTAACAAAGCATTTTAAAAGAGCACCTACGTGAACTCAGTATTCAATCAATGGGAACATACTCGAACAAGTGTCGACCTTCAAGGATCTTGGTGTGCTCATATCCAACAACTTATCCTGGTCGAAGCACATAGAAAGCATTGTATCTAAGGCTAATGAAACACTTGGTCTCATCAAAAGGATTTGTAAAGAAGTGAAGAATACCAACACAAGACGAATTCTGTGTTGTGCGCTGGTATAAGACCCAAGCTAGAATACGCGAGCAGCGTGCGGTCGCCTTACACCATTAAGCATCGTTTGCTCATTGAGAATGTTCAACGGCGGGCCACAAAATTCATCTTGAATTATTCTGACAACATGTCGTACGTGGACCGGTTGCAGAAAACAAATTTTCTACCACTGGATTTCCGAAGAGAAATTTCTGATTTGATACTGTTGTTCAAATCAAAACACCACCTCATAACAATGGATATAAACAAATATTTACTATGCACTTACAACCCTGGCTATCAATCTCGCAACTATGACGAAAATAACTTCTACCTCATAATAAAACATAATCAGGAATACTTTCAAAACTCTTACTTTATCAGATCAGAAAAACTTTGGAACAGCCTACCAACTGAAATTAAGAAATCCAGTACTTTATGTTCGTTTAAAACTCGTTTTAATAACTTATATAGTATCAAGTCAAAAACATACAAACTTCCTAATAATCGTAGCTACTAATATTTAGTTGTAATGTAAATAAACTGTTTGTAATATAAGTACTAAGTATTTAGTTCAGTAAAGATCACTCACTAGCTCGGTGTACGAACAACAGTAAATCAGTTAAAATTTATATAATGATCAAGGGCAGACTAGTGTTAAGCTTTCGTTTGTTCTCACACCGAGAAATTGCCTATAAAGTATGTATAGACAGTATAGTCATATGGGTGAGGTATTAATTGGGACGGTATGTCCTGTTCCACATTCCAGTCACATGTGTTGTCTTGTAGCTTGTTATGTATTGTTTATCAGTGTCATTGTAAATATTTGTGACAAATTTAATAATAATAATAATAATAATAACATTAGGTTATTATTTACATGGAGGTGAATCTCTTTTGATGGTGTAAAGACATGGTCTTTCGCAATTTTCAAATGACAATCCAAATTTTTAGATGACTATTCAAAATTTAGTCGGCTGGACGGCAGGCTGGTCAACACCGTGCAGTAATGTAGAATAATCTTGAGCGTAACATCTAATATAATACAGCAACAATATAAATCACGGTGGGCACAAAAGACAGCTAATTCGGCCACGTACAAATAACTTTCTGTCGTTAGTTTGGAATATCACGAAACTTCCTCACAGGATAGAAGTTGCAATTCCTAAAAATCCTATCGTTTTTTTTGTTTGATTTATAATTATTGAATATGAACACTTCTTACGTTTGGTCAACTTGCACCAGTTGTTTGCACATTTGTGTTACAGCACCGTCAGCACTAAGCAATTTACATAGTTTACATGCTGTACATGTACTCAACAAATCCCTGAGGCAGATTTTCTCGCTAACGAGTAACGTACAGCGAAAAAACACATGGCTATGATGACATGGGATTGTAAATTTGAAGTTTGTTCTGATGGCTGAAATATCTCAAAATTGTCAGTGACAGTGTAGACTAACCATGCAGTTTCAATATATTAAACGTCCACTAACTTATATAACAGTAATCGATCGACAGTTTCAACAGGCAAGAGCATCCATTATCCAGTTGAAATTTCGACATTTACCACTCCATCTGCCTTCTAGAGTATTCCGTTTCCCAAAAGTATTAATGTTTGATGTTATATATATGCATGTAGGCTACAGACCAAATATAAATTGCATGATTGCAAAATTTCTTTTAAATTCCATTCATATTTCACACATGTCGCTCAATACGATTTACACAGTTTCGGCGTGGTTCACCATCTGGGTTTTGTTAAATTCTGTTGTAAGTGCAAAATAATCAATGTTTCATTCATATTTGTAACAATTTGCAACTAAAATGACATTCTCGATCGCTATTTTTTTAATTGTCTCTGAATATAAAGAGATCGTATCCTATGGAAGTAGGGGTATAGCACAGCTTTTGACATTTTGTAGTAGTTTTGATATGAACAAATTTATCCCGTGGAGGTGGGGTAACGTAGTCGGTCCACAAGGGTTACATAGCGGGTACAAAGTCTTCGAGTTTTGGCAGGCATCACCGCTACAATTATTTTTGCCTGCAAGCAAATTTTACCCGCCAATCTTAAGGGGATGCCTGCGGAGGAGGCTAAGTTGAACTATTTTTGCGAGGTATTGATTAATGATGGTTTATATGTTGTGTTCATATTATGGTGTCGGGTGTTGTACATATTTAGTGTTGGCCCTAAAACAAGCTTTTTTCGCATTTGTTCTCGTAAATTGCAGTCGCAGTGGTGATCGACCTAAACTTGAAAGCGTTTATTGAATCAAAAACAGCATTTTGATTGTAGTTTTAGTTTCCGAATATTTGTTAGTTTTAAGTTAAATATTTGCTTACATTTACGAAATTAAATAAAAGCGCCTGTGTGTGATTTTTCAACCCACTTTTGCCAGAACAACTCGGAAAAATGCAGTTGACCGAGTTGGCTCGGTTGTCAACAAGTGATGTCCGAGCTAGGTCACTGAGTTGGCACCATATAATCGCATTGTTTTTAATAGAAGCCGTGGTATCGGAAAACTTGTCGTACTTCAGTAAACCGCGGGGCAACTGAGCCCATCTACATATTGGAATAATATTTACATAAACGCTTGAAAAACTACTGTAAGGATAAGCTAAATCAGTTTATTAGTTTGCTTATAACAACATTATTCGTTATTCATTTTTAGCGGAATTTGTTGCGGTGATAAAGATATTCAGAATCATCTTAAAGGGATTATCAGGAGATTATGTAAGGGATATTTTGACCTTTACAAACAACAAAGCATGTCAAAAACACTAAAAAATGCCCAGAAAGATGAATTCTTCGGACTTCGCGACTTCTACAGGTACAGAATTATTTTGTGATTATTAATTTAGCTCTTGTTCTGGAAACAATACAGCAGAAAATACAAGCAGAAAATATGAGGCCGCTTCTTCATAATTATGATATATAACATGTAAAATTTTTGTTTATGTTTATATAGTTTAGTGAAGATGGTGTATGGTTTTGCTGTGCAGGTGGAACAAGGTGATCAAATCAGTGATATAGAACTGGAACAATCTATCAGGAGAAATTTCAGTGGCCTGGATGACCTTGATCCAGTGAAGATATTTAGTCGGCAATTTCCAAGGCTTAAAGATTGTCTAAAGGTAATGAAATAAACCAGTGGAATGCATGGACAAGACGTTAAATATTAATAATTTAAGCCTGTTTTCCACTAGGCGGAATGTTCTCTGTTTTGTTTTTCTTAGTTGGAACTAATTAGAAAAGACAAAGAGAAATTCCACTCCGCGCGCAAAATTCCGCCTAGTGGAAAACCAGCTTTACTAACCGAGAGCGCGACATCTGCTATATTGACCGAGTGATAGCGAGGTCAATACAGCAAGGCCAATGTTCGTAGTAAAGTTTAATAGTAAGTTTTTTTATTATATGGCATTTTCATTGAACCTTTGTAAAAAATGGAAAACATGCATGATCACGCGAGGGCAAAGCATAAAGTCCTAAATATTTTCAAACACTGTATCAATATGTATAATTTCAAACTCTACAAATTTATCTTCTCTTGATTAGTAAAACTATACTCTACAAATATTTAGCCATTTAATCAAAGACTGCAGTTGTTTGCCAACAACAGCTTTTTATAGTTCATTTCATACTCTTGTTTTCTGTTTTAACTCGCCATAAAGTATAAAATTTTCGAAATAAATCTGTGGCTGCTTTAATTGTATATTTTGGATAGTGTCTTCAAATTCCTACTGCATGCCATCTGCAAATGCATGCAGCTCTTTGCAAGTTCAAAACACAAAATATTCTTGACTGGTTTTAATAATAGTTAAAAACGTAATAAAATTTATTGAAACTCGGCTCTCGTCGCAGCTTCGCAGGGCAACAAAAATTCCGTATTGCCTTTGGGCAATATGGGAAAATGCTCGTCATATTAATAGGACATACGCTCGTCATACAAATGCTCGTCATATTAATAGGAAAATATCCAACCGAGGACTTGCTGTATTGAACGAGCTCTGGCGAGGTCAATACAGCAAGACCGAGGTTGGATATTTTTCCGTACTGCCCGAACGGTTGAGGTCAGTACGTTTTTTATTATATATTTCATTGTACGTTTGTAAAAAATGGGGGAAAAGGTCACTCGAGGGCAAAGTACAAAGTCCGACACATTTGCAAAAAAAACAATTGTAAAAAATGTTCTCTTGGTTAGTAAAACTACTCTACTGCACTTTTTACTGTATAGAATACTAATATAGTTTGGATAGTATTTCAAGAGAAATACGAGATATTTTGTCATTTAATCAAGAACAACAAATATGAAAACAATAAAATTAATGAACAGCATCGACAATAGTCTGCTCGCAGACTGCATCCCGCTCCCACACAGTCTGCTGTCATTCGACTCTAATGCCGTACAGCTACCGGCGAAATACTGTATGATCGGCAGTTTTTCATTGGTTCGTTTCAAAATTATACTTGCATAAATTTGCTTAGCTAATTTCGAGACGAGTATACCGGTTTTACCGATTACATAAAGTTTCTGGATGCTGTTGGGCAGACATTGCCACACAAAAGAGCATTTAATTTTTTGGGATGAATAAATTTGATAGAATTTACAAATCTGGCATATATTTTTTGTGAGTTTATGTTTCGATTTCGTTGTATTGTTTTGCTTGACCTTGTCTATTGTCTATTGACCTTGTTTACATAATATAGGTTCTATTTAAAGTAACGCACCTGATTGGATAATAAAATTAGAAAGCCACTAAAGTGCTGAAGTGCACTGAATATTATACCTATTTATACGACTACGTCACTGTACAGCATTAGTGACAAATGATCGCAGACTATTATCCTTCCACCACGGGGGAGGGACAGTCTGTGCGCAGACTACAAGTACGTTTTTAGTTCGCTTCATGTCATTTATGTCTCTTTTTATTTAACAAAACAGAAGTTTTCAGGGAAAAATTATAAATTTGTGGCTGCTTTACTCCTTTAGTTGTATTTTTTATTTAGATCGATGGTGTCAGATTCCTCCTGGCCATCTACCAATAAAATTTGCAGCTCTTCACATTGTCAAAACAGAACTATTCTTGATTGCTTTGATAGTTATAAACATTGTAAAATTTACCTTGTAATTTCGACTTTCGCTAACAAAAACGTATTGAGAAAGTTCTTTAACCACAGCAGTTGCTCCTTTTCTCTATTTTAGGTTTACGTTTCTTCGTTTTAAATAGTTTGAAAGACTTTTAGACACTTTTTGCCTTTTGAAACTTGACTCTCGTCGCAGCTAGCTCGCAGCTTCGTAGGTCAATAAAAAACGGGAAAATCCTGCCTCGTCAGCAGCCAATCAAATTGCGCGATTCGTCAAAACAAATGTTTGCCATATAATAAAATAGTATAATATATACAATGCAATGTCGGTAACACTTTATCTTTTTAAAGTATCCCTCGCCAGAATGCCATCCAGTGAATCTTATCCAAGAAAGTCTTGGTAGAACGGAAAATCAAGGGTGAGTTGGCTGTATTGTGTATGCATGTTTGTGTGAATGTTTCATGTCATCGTATTTCATCTGGGGATGAGGTGTTGTGTTTGCTGCTCAGCTGTATGCACTATTTCTCCAGATGTGATGTGGAATACTGATATTTTTAGGAACTTTAAAGGTCAAGATAGACCTTTTTATTATTTTTATTGGTGTGGCCGAATACCGGAGTATTTAAAACAAAAATATAGTTTTCTTGCGGCGAAAGTTTTATACGTCTCAAATAGCTTTCTGACTTTTATTGTTTCACTTTTATTGTTTCACCTGAGCAGGCAGTTCGGGCTTGATGAAAAAAATCGATCCGCTGTGAAAGGCTCCTCAGCCAATCAGATTGCTTCATTCACTTAAAGGCGAAAAAAATTACAGTTTAAACAGATATTGTAAAAGAAATGTTCACCCCATACATCAATCGCATTCTTTAAGGTTTAACTGCAGTCAAAACAAGTCATTAATATATTCTCTATTATAAATATTGTAAACATGCACGGTCAAAGTCTGTGTTTAGAAACACATTTTTTAAGCATATAGTGAAACGACCAGAAAATAAAAAATTTAAAACAGCATACCTTCTTCATTATCCTCTTAGTAGAGAAGCGCTGATTAAATCAAAACAGATTCATTTATATTGTGTTTTTGATTGGCAAAGCAACTGAACATGAATCTGTCGTTGTTGGAAGCAAGTAAATTGGTCAGATGCAAGGCCTTCACAGACCTTAAAAACAATCGATTTCAAAAGAAATTAATATTGTAGAACACGAATATATGAATATGGACCCCCCCCCTCCCCCAATTATCGAGCTGGCTACGCCGCTGAAAAGACCACAAGGAAAGTGAGCTTTGCATTATCGCTAATATATACTTGTAGGGAAAGTCGCTATTTACTTGTTCTGACGGAGAACTATGCAGCGCTGAGATTGTTGCAGGGCAAGTTCCACAATCACGATCCTGTTATCATTTTTGGTAGCAGTTTCCCAAAGGATCAACAATACACACAGGTATATTTTCAATTTCTATTCATTTGCATGTCGTTCCGCGTATTCAAGGTCTTACCTTAAAGCCTCCAGATAGTAATAACTTACTGACCGAGAGTGAGGGCAGTACGGGAAAATATCCAACCGAGGTCTTGCTGTATTGACCGAGCGATAGCGAGGTCAATTAATACAGGAAGACCGAGTTTGGATATTTTCCCGTACTGCCCGAACGGCTGAGGTCAGTAAGTTTTTTATTATATGGCATTGTACGTTTGTAAAAAATGGAAGAAAAGGTCACGCGAGGGCAAAGTACAAAGTCCGAAACAGTTTGAAAAAAAAATTTTATCTAACAAAAACAGAAATTTTCAGGGAAAAATTGTAAATCTGTGGCTGCTTTAGTTGTATTTTTTTATTTAGGATGGTGTCAAATTCCTCCTGGCTATCTGCAAATAAAATTTGCAGCTCTTCACATAATCAAAACACAACTATTCCTGACTGCTTTTATAGTTATAAACATTGTAAAATTTACCTTGTAATTTTGACTTTCGCTAACAAAAACGTATGGAGAAAGTTCTTTAACTACAGCAGTTGCTCCTCTTTTTATTTTAGCTTTATTTTTCTTCGTTCTGAATAGTTTTGAAAGACTTTTAGACACTTTTTGCTGTATTGAAACTCGGCTCTCGCTCGATATTATAGGAAAACCGAATTCAATAATTGTTTTATTGCATATATTCATTCATTATATATTAATTTAATGTTGCGAACCGGCTCAAAGCCATTTTGTTTACGCTTTCAAAAATGTGGAACTTTCGGGCGCTTTTTAGCAAACAATGGACTTCGCCAGGGCTTGGTAACCACAGCGTGCATGACACTTTTTCGGTCCAAAAAAGTATCATTGCACGCTGATGGCGTCAGCAGCTGAAATAACGCAGTGGCTTCAAGATAACGAGAATTATCCGACGCGTTTTGACCAATCACGAACGAGAATAGACTTTGAATATATAATAGAATAATTTGTGTTCAATGTTACGTTATAATTTTAATGTGTGAGTATGGGTTGCAGATACGGTACGCTATACCCTTACCAGTAATTATGCCTTGTACTGTAAATTGGGTAGGTTGAATGGCTGTCCTATTCAACATTCAATTAATTATTATTATCAAGAAACGTCAGTTCTAAGTTTTTGTATATCAACGATTCATTTGTCAAGTCGTATTGATGTAGAAATCATGTTTACCAAATTATAGATTTGTCGAAACATCAACCGAATCAAAGTATGCATGGAAACAGGAAGGATGGTGATCTTGCTCAACTTAGAAAGTCTTTATGAAAGTTTATACGATGCATTGAATCAGGTG